AGAAATTCGAAATAAAATAACACTGTAATCAGGTGTGGGGTGCACCTGGGGATCTTGTTGTCAAGATCCCAAAGAATAAGATGAAATGTATTTCGTTTTAAACCCCAAAGATAAAATTCACACAGCAAAAATATAATCACACACAATGGAGAATTGACTAAACTCCATGATCACTCTTCCAGGACTGAACTGGAGCTTCACAAGGAAATGGCGGCGAGTTGATGCTATGGAAAACCTGAGAAAGGTCTCGAATGTTCGAGATTAATCCAGCATAGATTTATGGTACTTTAACGTACCGAATTATTCCGCCACAGTTGTGTGTGTGTTCAAAAAATTTAGGCAAGGGGGAAGAACATCAACAGCTGATGATTTTCTTTTTTTTTTTTGTGCCTTGGATGATTAAGTAAAATTTTAAGAAGTGTTGTTGAAATTAAAAGGACTCATTAAAATATTTGTTTTATTCATGGTCGGGAGGTTTGAATGTCTTTTCTTTCGTCTTTCCTTAGAAACTGAGTATACTCACAAGTATGTGCAAACATTTCCTTCAACCAAAGGTCTTCTTCATGCCTGCTACACCCGCAGATCCCCAGCGATTTTTTTTCTCGCGCATGCAACAATGGCGCGGGATGAATGCCAAGGCACACCAGTCAACTTGTATTCTGTTCCTTACAAGCGAACGCAAAACAGCTCTCCCACTCAAGTTTTTGTGAGCACTTACTCGGTTGCACTCGGAAGGACAAGTTCAGCGCGTTTTGCAGTACACTGGGAACGAACAATTTATGGTTCAGCGTCTGACACGTCTGCAGCATACACGAAAAACTACCGTACCTAAGATTAAAAACTTAAGATTTTTTGGTTAAATAATACGGCGGCATTTGCGGGTCTCTCAAATAATGGACGACACCGGGATGGGATGTAATTCAAATGATGATCAAGCATTATGAGATCGCGTGGATAAATGCCGTCATAATATTTTTAAACGCCTATAAAATGCGTTGAAGAAGATTTTTCCTTGGCTTGACTGCTTTTTTCCCTCGTGCAGCACCGGATTTAAAAAATATGCCAAATATTATGAATATGAACTGCTGCAAAGGTTTTCGAATGAAATAGTGAATCTCGCGTCAAGTTCTTTGAGCTAGAAATTTTTTCTTATTGCACAAGCAAGCGGAGAATCATTTGCGCTTTGAATAAACTTGGCAGGGAGACTGGCAAGAAACAAGTACTGATCATCAACAGGGCAGCAGCAGCTGGTGCCACAAGATCTCTTTATTTTTATTTTTTTTCCTACGGAATAATCTGCTATATGAAAAGCGAGTCCCATTACCATTGGTTGCATCATGGGCCAGTTGCACACAGGCCCGCGGCACACAACCATTTCCAGGACTGCCCTACCATTGACCCTTTTTGATGGGCTCTTTGGAAGTTTTGGTGTTCTGAAGAGCCGAGGAATAATGAGAGAAAAGCTGAAAGGACAGAAGATGCTGATTCACCTTTCAATAAATACGACAGAAAACTTTGTAAATCTATATATTTGCTGATTTAAAGTTAGAGAAAGCCGATGGAGCCAATTCCATGCAGCATTAAATTTAAAAGATTGGTTTTTAGAGTAATGATTATTTTTTATTTTTTATATCTTGGTGCATTAAAAATGCCGGAGAAATCAACCGGAACCTTCTCAAGACCGAAACAAGCAACTGCTGATTTTTTAGGTGTATCCAAGATAATCAACACTATTTAGTGGACAAAAATTAATTAAATTCGGAATCAATCCAGAAAATTCCTGCTTTGCAAAATTTTGCGAAATTCATGGCAAATGTGCGTAAATCCCACGCGTGGGGTCAAGTCATCCACATCAGCAATTTTTTCTGCCGATTCCCTGTGCCAAAAAAAAAGTATGCGACTTTTGCTAACTGACTTTACTTCTTTCTTGACGGATCTTCATTTCTCCCTTTTTCGGTTGCTAGAAGGAGGAAACTGAAATACGTTACAAAAAATATGGTATAATTCTATGATTTCTCAGAGTTTATGTGATCACTTTCTGAAGGGAATGCAGCCAAACCTTTTCAACTCAAACTTCAAAGGACCGGAAAAAAATAGAGTTAGGGAGATTTTAAATTTGGGACATAACTATTTTTGCTGGGGAAAGAAAGAAGGAAGATTTACAAGACATTGTAATTGGTGATATTATAGGCATCAAATTGCTTCTGACATGTGTTGACAGGATGCTGAAGTTGGACGCATGCTGGGTTCATTTGCCCAGTCAGTCTCTCACTTCCTTTCAAAAAAAGTCAAGATACATTTCTATTAGTTTTATATTTTCTGTGTCAAAAAATAGCCAAAAGGCCTACAGGAAAGTTGAGTTATGGAGACGGTTGACGGGGAAAAATTCGAAAATATATTTGACATGGAGAGGTATTCGACTTTGGGAGGTTCCTAGTTATTAAGGTTCAATTGCATACTGTATTAAAAAATACAGTACTGTATTTCCATTTTACTGAAGAACGGGTTCTTGACCAACAACAGGAAAATACTTGAGAATGTTGGGCCCGGGTTCAAGAAAACTGTTGATCGAGCTGTCGATGCATCGAGTTTGTTCCCGGCCCATGGAGATGGGCAATCTGCTGGTTCCTTTATATGCTACCCTTGGACCCATTTCAAATGTTCTTGTGACTACTGTGACGGCGACGCAGGGATGACGTACCGTACTTACGCATATATATATGTACAGCATTCCGTACTTTGAGTATACAGTAGTGTACACGAATGGTCGCGCCGCTCGGCGAGAATCGATTAGCTTTCAAATACTGTATATTTGCGGTTTACGAAACAAAAAGAAGTATATAGGGACATTGGGACAGTCAGAAATCCTCACCCAACGAATCGTCGATGCAGTAGACGACGGCGTTTCATATAGAACGAATAGCTCCTACAAGGAACCCATCACATCCAAATGGTTCTACTTACAAGTAAATGCACACAACAACAAAACCGCGTTCCTCTAAAAAGAAAAGACATGCTATGTCACAAACCATATTCACCGATTTTATACCATTTCTATTGAATCATTTAAAATGTGAGTTATTTCGAAGATTTTTTGGATGTGGAATGCGTTACTTGTATTCCCAATCACGTTTTGGTGAGATCAAGAGACGTGAAGATGTGTCCAAAAAAAAAGTTAATAGACAAGACAAATAGTAGCTTTTCTATCATTTTTGGAATGAAAATACAGTAAATCAAGATTTCTTGGCACTTTCCTATTGTTCAGAGTGATATTTCATGTTTGCATGACAGTTATTTTTCGAAATCTTACCATGCATTTTCTGTCGGATTGTGAAGAGAATGAAGAAAGCTGTGAGTATAGTAGGAGAATTAGCGTTCCAGTCCCAGTTCCGCGTGTCTTTGGTGACCAAATACTACCAGCGTGTTGAGGATTTGTGTATTTTTCTGTGACTGAATAAAAAAGATTCCGAGCAAAGCATATTTTGGAAAATAATTTTCAAAAGACGAGATAACTGAGGCCGTTCTGAATTAAGTCGACTGAAAGTCGGACAACAGTACGTTTCCTTTTAGTTCAAGCATTATATTGATACTTCATATTTTTTTAAACCTCTGCTTAGAAGCAGACACATAATTTTTAGGAAGGATATGTTTTTTTTTAGAAGGAAATCCTTGTATTGATGATCTGTAGGTTAACGAAGAAAATATAGGTGTTATTACAGCTTCAAGAAAGAAAAGAAATGTATAGAGGCACACTTGAAACTAAGCGAACCGTTCAGCGCTGACAAGATTGAGTTTCTCAAAGCACTGATTTATTTGCTAGCGAATTAATTTCGATCAATTCTTTATTTATGGGGTTTCGTCCCGCACATCCGAAATTTTGTACAGAAAAAACGGAAATTATCTCTGAAGCCTGAATTATAAGGGCTATTTTGTTCCTTTCGGAATTTGAGTTGAACTTTGACTGTCCTCTTATTTAAAAATGTTCGGTATTATTGTACACATACTGTACTTGATATCAATGCTTCAGAAATTTTTATTGATGAAATGTGCATGCCACTTAGTGCTGTTTTGTGGCTTTAAGTTACAAAAATTGTGCGATTTTTACTTGAGAGAGACGCAAGATTCTTGATTGAAATTTGAGAGATTTCTTTATTTTCAAGAAACGCCTTATGACTCCAATGCACCGGCAATGATCATCAAAGATTTAAAGTACTCCAAAAACACTCCATCGTTTATACAAGATGCACTGAAATGCATGCAATTTCGGTTGGTTCATTTCAGCATTGTACCGTATTTTTGACACTTCACGTGGAGAGGGAGAATGCAATTTGGGAGTCGCCCCTTTTTTAGCGATTTTTTGAGTCGCGTATCTCGAGCCGATAAGGACCAGCTTACACTTGAGCGGACGCAAAGGAAGAAAACGGCAGCATGCCCGCGATCGACTGATGCAGCCTGGGTCGGGATACCCAGAAGCCGCCACCGACCAGCTGCAGGATGCTGCAGCCCGCGGACGACCCCAGGGGGTGGGAGGCCGCCAACCGCATCGCACCGTCGCACACAGTGCTTGGGTTTGCTACTGTAATTGTCGTCGTCCTTGGTATCTCAATGCAATGCAAAAATACTAGTTAAATCTACCGTAGTTTTCAGTTATGTTACATACTGTATTATTGAGCATAAATTTTCGTGGGCAGCATATGGATACCGTACATGGTTTGTTGACAGCTTTTCTGTTCGTTCAATTGACCCGCTTCAACGTGAACCGTGCTGGAACCGTGTCGGCGGCTTTCGCATTGTAGGTTTCTCAGTTCAGTTACGAAGTGAAAATGCGCGAGGGGGCGATGTTGGGTGAAGTGATTCTTTCGGTTTCAGTTATCCTTGAGTTGAGTGCGCAACACAAGTTAAGATGTGCGGTAAAGAAAAATTCTGGGTTTTTTGTGTCTTGGATTGATGCCGCCGGAAAAGAGCATACTTTTGGAGAGGAAGGCTCTGACGATGACTTATTTGTGATGGATTCATTTGTTTTTGCCTTGTAGAATAAAGTGGAAATCTCCGTGATGTTCAAAAAATCTGCGCCAGCAATACCCCCCAGCACTGAGCCTCCGACCGAGGAAGAAATGATGGAGGATATTCTGAAGGGAGACGTGGATGCCCAACGTGAATTTGAACTGTCAGGTAAGTTCCAAAGGTTTTTCTCTGGAAGATGAGTGGCTTTAGCACATTTTAAACTCGGAATGCTGAAGCCTTACTGGTCAACTTTTTTTCCGCCCCAGATGATGATGTTTCGGAAGTTGGTGCAGACTTGACGGAGTCTCTTGATGATCCGCCGGAGGAGCAGTTACTTTCTGCAGCGCTGGGTGCTCCATCAAGACGCTTGGCATTTAAAGCTGTTGTGAATCTCATTGAAGCTTATGAAGAACTGCAACGGTCTGTTCCCGCGTCGAAACGTGAAACGCCAGCTTATGAAGCGTACCAGCAACGAATTTTTGAGGTACTGCTAGCAAATCAAATCGTGCCATCTCATCCAAAATTTTTCTTGAGTTTTTGGTCTTGCAGGTTATGCAAGAATGCCTTCACCAACTCAGCAAGACCCGTTGCCTGGTTGACGATGTATCTTGGTACCAGCAGCTGGTCAAGAATTCTGAGGCTCGCGAACAGTAGCGATGTACGATTTGATAAATTTCGGTTTCCCTCATTGTTATCTATTCCTGTATAAAACAAAGGGTGTCGTCACCCCCCAGATTGTATGTTTCACTTTAAAATTGCGTTTAAAAGTTTCCTAGCACGTTCCAAAAAAGTTTACATTCGACGCTTGAACCGGTGAATTTGCGTAGACGATTCCCTTAAATGTCCCAAAAAATATGTTTCAGTTGTAAAAATGTCTCAAGTATAACGAGTAAGCATTAATTTTAGAAACCTTATGCCAAAACGTGAAATGACTTATTCCGGGATGGCGCGTGAATGTAAGATTAGGGTTACATTCGTTTCAAGTCTGAACTTTGAATGTGTAATTCGTGTGGTTTTTGGATGATGGCCTGGAGTTTACGGATGAAAAATTTTTGATCCATTTAAAAATGTGGAGGAATACGTGAACTTGTGTAATAACTGTTCGGTTTTTATTTTTCCATTCTTGACGTTCCTTGGTCATTCGCAAAACCGAAATTTTGGCTCATCTCCGTGAGAGAAAAGTCGATGGTTGTCTGTGATGGAAGGTGAATGATTCACGTTTCTGGTTGATGTGAAAATGTTTACGCTGAACGAACGTGGAATTGTAAGTGATCATTGGTGTATTTATTTTTGGTAACATTGAATTCTTGTTATGCAGTGTTTTCTCTATTTGCAGATGTGATATTTACTCATTTGTTAGTTTTAAATCTCGGCGAAATGGATGTTGTGACGCGGTTTCCGGAATTCGGCAAGAAGATCTTGTGTGTTGGCTATAATTATAGGTAAATTGTCGATTGATATTCTATGACGTGTTCCAAGACCGGCCAGTGGTGCATCCGCGTTTTAGCGAACGAACGGCCTTAATTTTCTGGGAATATTTGCCCACGTTACGCCTTCCGCAAAGAAGTTGTGCAGCTTGAAAATTTTGCAGGGACCGAGTGGAAGAAATGGGCAAGAGACCCACAGAGAGGCCGCTTGTATTCCTGAAACCGTCAACTTCGTATGTGCAATGTGGACAAGATTTGTTGGTGAGTTGAAATTTCTGAATGTTTAACTGAGGGAAAGCGGGTTGAAGATAAAAAAAAAATTTTGAATGTAATGTTGCGGTGCGTGACTTGACCACGCCTTGTCCTGGATTGATGACATCATTCGGACTCGAATACATTTTTGAAGTTAAAGATCGAACATTTAATAAACTAAGTAATTCCCCTGGCTGCACTCCCTTAAAGATGTAATTGCTTCAAGTACCTGCACTGTGTCCTCATGGTGATCTCTTTAGTATCAATTGGCTCATGGACTTGATTCTAACTTGCAGTTCATCCTGAAAGGTTCTAGTTTTGATGATGAAAATGTCTGCGGAAACTTTTTTCAATGCACTCTTCAATTGTAACCGGTTTTCTGCTTCTAATGCACTGGTTTGGGTCAACTATCAAATAATTATCTTAAGTCTCGCTTACATTTTGTGCATTGCAAACTTGGAAAAGCCCATGCGGCAACTTTTATTATGTGATCATTTTCTTAAAATTCACGTTTTAGCCATACCAACGCGCTTGAATTATTATAAGTTTTAAAATATTTTTTCAAAATTTGAAGGAGCTTCAATTTTAACATCACCTAGCCTTCAACCGCTGATGATCTGCGAATAAAAGATTGATCCTTCTTTCATGTACTTTTTTTTTTACCTGTGCCATGTAATTCGACGAAGTTTAAATTTTTAGTCACGATCAAACGTGTTACTCGGCAGCAAAAAAGTTCCAGCATTTACAGTCCGTCTGCTGTGTATTCATTATCAGGGTACGTTTCCTTGGGAGAATGAGATTTCTGTTTAATTTAATATTTGCTTAATGACAACCAACGAAAAAATCAATTATCAGTATTCATATTTTTTTTAATTACAATTAATTCGAGGTTTTCTATTCGTCTCGCAAGTGATCAGCCACGATATACTTTTTTATCTTAAAGTTCAAATTAATATCTCATGAAACTGCTGATAAGTCGTAGATTTAATTGATCATTTCATTTCTTCGTATCCTCTTCGTTATTTAAGATTCCACCTCGCACTCGCCAGTTGGAACACGAAATCGAGCTGGGAGCTGTAATCTCGAAAAAAGGGAAGAGTATTTCCGAGGACGATGCCATGGACTTTGTTGGGGGCTACTGCGCTGCGTTAGACATGACTGCACGGGACTTGTTGCACGAGGCAAAAGCCCGTGGGCAACCATGGACGATCGCCAAGGGTTTCGATACGTCCTGTGCAGTCGGCGAGTTCATTCCCAAAAGTCGCGTGCCGAATCCGCACGTATTAGAGTTGTGGTGCAAAGTGAACGGAACGATGCGTCAAAAGGCTAATACGAGTCAGATGATTTACAAAATACCCGAGTTGATAAGTTACCTTTCCGAGATTTTCACCCTTGAGCCCGGGGACTTTGTTTTAACCGGGACGCCGGAAGGAGTGAGCAAAGTTGTTCCAGGGGATGTTATCGAAGGCGGTATAACTGACCTGACCACCTTCACGTTCACCGTTGGCCCAAGTCCTGCTTCTCTCACTCCGAGCTGATCAGACATTCTTTTGAATTATGTTCGCGCTTTAAGCTTCGTATGATTTATTCGTTGGCGAAGGGTTTGCTAATCATTGATGCCTTCTTTTGTAATTTGCAGGTTTAATATTTTTTTATACTGTCGAAAGTGTTCCGCAGCCATGGACGTTTTACGCGACAGTGAGTATTGACGATTTTTCGAAAGTTTCCATGTATTGCTTCCTGTCAAACTTCGAATCTTGAAATGTTCAAATTGACCTATGCTGGAAATATTCGAGTTACTAATGGTTATCATGTGCAGGTGGACTCTCTACAACGATTTTCTTCGTATAAAGTTTTATTTTATTTGTTGTTCCCGTGAGGTTCTCTTCCATGTTGTGTAGGGGTTCTCTGCCGCGGATTTTTCCCGGTCCGTTGAAAATCGTTGTACAGTAGAGATAGTTCACCTATATTTTATATAATTTTGATGCTTCTGGAGAGGATGATTTTCGTGGAATATTTTAAGAATTTTCGTCTTCGTTACTTAATGTAACAACTTTGTTTTTTTTAGACGTCGGTGAAGTGATGCCGTTATTCACGAAGATGCTGGAAATCTGTGATTTCGTGGCAATTGACACTGAAATAACAGGGATTTGTCTCCGCAAGAACCCTTTTGACACTTTGGACGAAAGATACTCATCGTCTCACCGCGATCAGGCTCAATTTTTGGTTATTCAATATGGAGTCTGTGGCTTTCTCTTTGATAATGCTACACGAAAGTAAGATTTTTATATTATGGAGAAATCCTCTATTAATAATGTTTAATCTTCTCAGGTATGTTTACCATCCCTTTAATTTTTACGTGTTCCCTGCCGAACGTGAGGGATTGCAAAACGTGTTCGCGTGCTTGCCATCTTCATTGGAGTTTCTTGTTTCCCATGGATTTGATTTCAACAAACTCATCAAAGATGGTAAGTCCGTTCATTTTACAGTATTTCAATTCCCCTATGTTCAACCACAAAATGAATTTGTATTCTTTTTACTGGATTAAAATGTGAGATGGCACGGAAAACAAATAATTTTATGAAATGCTAATGACTCGACAGCCTGCTTTCTCACAGTGTTTCTGAAGGAGACTTTGTTGATTTGTTTTTTTTTTTCTCGAACCATATTGAAAAACATCACAAATACATTTTCTGAAGGATTGTTGAAATGTGAAAAGCATTTGGATTTGCTTCAATTCAAGGTGTTCGTTTCATAAGGCTTGACCGAGCGAAAGTGCTGACCGAAAAGCTTGTCAAAAACCACGAGGAAGCGCTGGATTCGCTGGCGCGAAATGCAAAACCTTCTCAAAGCAATACGACCGAAAGAATCCCTATTCCAAAACACTTGGCAGTACGCATGAAGGACGTTGTGTAAGAAGAGTAATTGAAATACAGAACTGTATTTCTTCTGTTTTTGAACGCAACACAAGCAATTTTTCTTCGATTTCAGCGATAGGGTCGACAAGATGATGGGGGATCCTGCGAATACTTCAGTAACAATAGAAGATTGCCAGAATCCGTTCCTGCGAAAACTAATTTACAGCGAAGTGGAGCACAAGTAATGTCCATTGTTATTTTTGAAGCTTGTTCCACTCATGCGGTCACGCGACTGTCGCAAAATCTTACTGGAAGTTCGTTAATTCGAGCATTATTTGCGATTTAATGAAGCATTGAAACCTATTTTAATTTCCTGCGTTGAACCCACGAGATTCTGCTAATGCGGTTTACGGTGTCAACTTTAGTTCGACAATAAAATTCGTTCTGGTCAATCAGGTACAACAATTTACACCTGAGCACGGATCGCCACTGGCAAAACGGCACGAACAAAACCCGTATGGTCATCAGTAAAGGTTCCGCGGACGAACAGCTGAAACTGAATTATGAGAAAAAGCGCGAGGAACTTCAAGCTGAAATTGGTTTCTCAAGCTTCATTGCACGACTGAGCGAATCGGTAATTTTTCTTCGATTTGTCATTCCATGGCAGCTGCTTCAATGTTATATATTTTAAAGGAATTCTATGATTTTTCAGAAGAAGCTCGTAGTAGGGCACAATGCTTTTGCAGATTTGTTGCATACGATCGACCAATTTGTCGAGGAGGCTCCTCCCGACTTGGCCAGCTTTAAAAAACTTATGCTGAAATATTTCCCACGGTAAAATATTTCGCGGATTTCCGAATTTCTTGATGGAAAATTTTGTTTCGATAGATCGATGGACACGAAGGTTTTATGTAGATCGAAGCAACTGGTTGACCGAATAACATCGTCAGTCTTGGAAGATTTGGTGGGAGTTCTTTCCTCAGAAGACTTTTCCCTACCGGAGTTCGGTATGTTGCATTTCAGTATTTCATCTAAATTAATTCCTACTTCCAGATGGGGGTTTGACGGAAGAAATTTGACATCTTTTCATGATCATGCATTTTATTTTATTAGTGGCCGCGGAGGGATTTCCGTCTTATTCCCTGAACTGTGAAAAGGTGCATAAAGCTAGTTACGATGCGTTTTTGACGGGCGTATGCTTCGTTGGACTGGCGACTGCTTTGGGTGGGTACTCCTGTTATCTAGTACGTTTTCCAAACTTTCAGGAGATATACTATTTTTTCAGGAGCGTCGTCCCATGAATTGGGCGGATCACCTCCTAAAGTAGACGTCAATTCTTCGAATCTCGCGCCATATGTGAACAAGTGAGTTCAAGTTACGCCGAATAGCTAAAGATCAGTGGGAAGATTAGTGTTTTTTTCTTATTTGAGTGGAACTTTTTATCGTTGTTTGACGCTTTCAAGTGTGTCCTTGCTTATTTTCAGAATCAATTCCATGATTGCGGACATGCCGTTTTATGATCTCGAAAACGAACAAGGTAAGCAAAAATAAAGTTTTAAATTTTGGCGTGGTGTTTTTCCATTTGCTTCTTGTTCACAGCGTTACCGGACCGCAGCCACGTTTTTCATGTTACTTTTCCTGCCATTTGGAAGACTGCCGATGTTCAAAATTTTTTTGAGCCTTGTGGTAAGGAATCAACAGTTACTTTTGAAAAATGCTTGTTGCTTTCATTCGATCATACTTTCAATTTAAGGCCGCTGTTTTGTTTACTGGATAAGTGACACATCGGCTTATGTCGGCATCAACGACAAAAGTAAAATTGACAACGTACGTGCGTTGGAGAAATCGCCTACCGTTCAGGTATTGTTACAGATTGCTGCGTTTTTCGTACTATTTCAACGGCGATTTCGTGTTTTCCAGATAATTTCATATCAAGATTTCCGCTTGAATGCGGTCGATGTCACAAACTGAAAGCTGCAAATATAAGGAGAACAGAAGTTCTTCGAGCGCGTGATGCTCGTTTTGAAGCGTACCTCTTCCGTACAATCAGCACCAACATTTATTTCGGGCTGCTTTTGCACAGTCCAGTTTGTTGTGTTGAATAACGTGTTTTCGTATTATACAGGAAAATGAATTGATTTTTGGTGCGCTGATTGTATGAACGAGATATAGTTAAAGGTCAAATTTTTGCTCGTGTAATAACCATTCAAGATGTCAAATTCAGAGACCGATCCGGGAGCAAAATTTATTAACATCAATCAGCTGAGTTTGCCGCAGCTCAATCAGCTCAAGCAACAACTAGACCAGGTATTTTGCGTGTGCAATTTGTCTTTCACATTAATGATTTGTTTACTTAATTTCGTCAAAAGGAAATCGAGCTGTTCACTGGATCTTTGCAGCAACTAAAAATGGCTGAAAGTAAATTTCAAGAATCGGCTAATAATTTGGCAGAGTTGAAGGCTGACGGAGGCAATGCTATTTCGAAAGATTTACTAGTTCCCCTGTCATCATCAGTGAGTATGTTTTTGATTCTTGTTATGAGCGAATGTTTAGAGACAATTTTTGAATCTTGTTCTGAAGCGATAGGAAAAATTACCATTTCGAGGTTTAAAAGGAAACTGATCTTGGCTTGGATTATTTGCAGATGTACGTTCAAGGCCAAATCACCGATCGGGAACGTGTGATGATTGAAATAGGAACCGGATATTACGTTACAATGGACTTCAATCGCGCTTCAGACTACTTCAAACGGAAAGTGGCTTTTGTAAACACACAAATGAACAAGGTGCAAGAAGCTGGCCAGGAAAAATTCAAGATCCGTTCAGCTGTGGAGGAACTGCTGCGACAGAAGATTCAATCTCAAATGCAGGCTCAAGGAAAGCCGGTCACTGGTGTTGCATAGAATTCCTGTCCTGCGAATGCGTTCAGAAGAAAACTGAGTTTGAATGATTGTACAATTTGAGCATGTACCACTTTAAAGTTGACTTCGAAAAAATCACGCATGTGATGTGAACAAATGCCGACGTATTCCAGCCACTGAGAAATACTGCCATTCAACTTTTGAACGTGGTCTGCTTCTCGCTAGTGTTCTCTAACGAGTAATCCTATGTCTAATTCTCATCAATTGTAATCACGAAGAATTGTGAAAAAATTTGCCCTTGTTTTGGACTAAACCTGTGTTCTTGGGAATACCTTGGAATATGTTCGAAATGTTTTGCTGCGTCAAATGCGTTCTGTTTTTTATGTTTTCAAAAACGCACTGTGAAGGATTGTGTTTTATTTTCCCAGGAAGACTGAATAGGGATGCTTCGAAGTGGCGTAAGGAAGTCTTCCTCAAAATTCTTCGCTTAGTGCGAAAAAAAAAAAAAAGTTTTGTGATGGACGGAAGCGCAACTTTTGTTGAGCTGGATCGAAGCGTCGGTCCGGGATGTTCTGAAGTTAGTATTCTGGACCCGAACGAAAGTTCATTTTACGACTTCGTTAGTGACGAAGAAGTGACGGAGCGGAAACAGGAGGAACCATGTGAAGACAGTGAGGTATGCCAAGAATATTACATTTCAATGTTATATGTATTTTTTTATGATTGCCCATCATGGCACTCGTCAGGATTCGTCTGATAATCCGGAGGATGTGGACGCCGTCAGCGAGGACGAACGCGTTGTGAGAAGTTTACGAGAACGTGACAAGCTCGTTTTTATTCTTAGTGAAGCTGGTAAACCGATTTATTGCCGGTTAGTGGAATTCAGTTTGCCTTTGAGATAATTTTGGCTAACTATTCGAAATTTCTTCGCGTTAATTTCAAATTTGTTGTACGGAAATTGTTTTAAACCTCCGTTATTTTTTCTTATCCGTTCAGAAATTGTGTTTCTGGATGAAAGCCATTTAAGTTAACCTTCTTTATTTTCAGGCACGGAAGTGAAGAGAAGCTGGTCAGTCTTTTTGGTTTGATGCAGGCATTAGTTTTTTGTGTGCAAGACGACGACGATCAAATCAAGTCCATAACAGCTGGTGCTTACCGGATAGCCTTTCTTAATAAAGGACCCTTGATTTTCGTTGCTGTGTCACGTAGAGGTGAAACTCCTGGTCAACTTGCTCTTCATTTAGGGTGAGACACATATGTTAATATAGATCATTATTTTTTCGTTAAGAATGAGATGTTTTGAAGCATTAATCTAGTTTTTGACTCACATTTTACTGCAGATGATTGTTCTCCCAAATCTTGTGACCCATGCTCTTACTTTTCTTCAGGTATGCGCAAAGTTTGATCGTGAGTGTCCTGACCGCTGCGCAGTTGAAAAAGATCTTCGAGCAAAGAAGAAATTATGACCTTAGAAAGTTACTTGGTGGAGCGGATCGATTGATGGATAACCTCTTAGATGGATTGGAACAGGATCCTGCTTACCTTCTTGGGGCTGTGAGCTGCCTTGCTTTGAATCCAAGCGTGCGTGATAGTATTTCTGATGCAATCGTCAGACACTGCGCCAAATTAAAGGTGAATTTATTTTTCCACTGAACAGTAAGTCGAGTTTTTGTGAAAATTCTTGCTTATTGTGTATGTATTTTTTGTAACATTTTCTTTTTAAAAAACGATTTCACCTGCCAGCAATGTTCCATTTATGTATTTGACTGTTCCTAGTAGGAATAAATCGCATTTATATCAATTATTCAAGATGAATAGTTCGATTATATTTCATAGGAAATTTTATTTTCCAGAATTTGGTTTTCGCCATCTTGCTAGCTGACTCACAGCTAGTGACACTGGTCAGGATGAAGAAGTACATGCTCCATCCGGCGGACCTGCATTTGTTGATCAATCTAGTTGCCAGCTCTGAGTCCTTCAAACTTTCTGAAAGCTGGACCCCAATTTGCTTGCCGCGGTTCGATGCGAAGTGAGTAATTTCTGCAATAGAGTAATTTTAACGTACTTTTTGGTGCATTAATAAAAACAAGCTAATACTGTACAATAGGATCGATCGAGATGTTTGTGGAAATCTTGCTTGCGAATCGTCCGAAAACCTGACATTTAACTTTGCTGAAATGCAAATTGATTTGATTGCGAATCCTGGGTATTTCCCAAGAATCTCTTTCATCGTCGATATCATATTTCTATTTATTTATTTTTTTCCAGTGGGTTCCTACATGCACACGTGTCTTACTTGGCTGATGATTGCCAGGCGTGTCTGCTTCTACTAACTGTAGACAAAGACCAGTTTTTTGTTCTTTCTGAAGCGAAGCAAGGAATAGTCCAAGTGAGTTCATCGAGAAAAAAAAGTTTCGAACGCCGGCTTGCATGTTTTTAATGATACTAACAACTCTGTTGTTTTAGCGTCTTCGACGTTACAAGTGCCTGGAAGCAATAAATCGAGCCATGAAGAATGGCGGTTACACGATGCAGGACGTGAACATTCCTGAGATACGGCACTTTTTGTACAAAGCTCGTCCTACGGCCCAGTACACGGCACCCTTGTTTTCAGCGCCCTACGACGACAGTTACGAGAAGGATCGATTATTGGCATTATACCACCGAATGCATCAACGCATGTTGCTGCCCGGATCTCAACGTCACCTCAAACTGGTCTATGTCGTTGGCAAATACGAATGTTTGCTGTGTTGGGTGAGCGAACTGTTCTGTTTATGCTTTGGTATCAATTTTAAAGTGTTGGATGTTATTTATCATCAGGTAACGGCCTTTTTCGAGCTGTATGCGGCTATTGAACCTCTTGTTGAAAAAGAAGCGGTGATACCAAGAGTTGAAAAGCTCCTCAACTGGATAAAAAGTGAAGAGAGTCGATTATTCATTTTGACGTCAACTACATTCTAGACTACTGTATTGGTCATATTCGTTTTGTGATGTACACGCGGTGATGCGCTCTGAGGAGTATTTACATTTCTTGATCCATTGGAAAATTGAAGAATTTGTGATATTTTTCGGGTGCTGCTCTCCGTCCACATTTTTATTCATTTTGTGCTTCAAATTCTTTTTCTAGCTCTTTTTGTAAGTGGAGTGAATGATCCTACAAAGGATCTGCGCTGTGAGAAAATTTCAATTTTTCGTTGTCGTTCCTGTGACACCAAGGTTTTCCGGATTCTGGTCTTCACTTTCCAGCGTCCTTTCCGAAAAATGTTTCTGCCTCTCAGAAATGTCCTCCAACTGGAGTGACGTTCATGTTATAGCATCAATCTGGCAAGATTTTTGTACCGTCTTTTGACTGTTCTTTCTTCGTTGCTCTGCATATGAATTAAGTACGCTGAAAAATCTGAAATTACAAGAGTCGCAGATTTTCACCTCGCTATGAAACCTTCGATTTTTTACCCAGATGTAAGTCTGAATTTTTCATAAAATGTGTCCCAACATGAAAATGTCATTGTCAGAAATAATTTTAACTGTTCGAAGAAAGGTTCAGTCCGATTTTATATGCAACGGTAGTGCTGTTAAAACTGAATTAAAAAATTGATTATGAAAATTAGCCATTCGTTCGATGAACGTCATGCATGGAAGAAAACAGATATCGAAAAAAAAGACGCGTACCTAAATACATTTTAATTTAAATATTTTCGTTGATGCTGACAGAGCCAATTGGATGCTGTGAGCATTTGCAGAGGGTTTCTGAACTCACCCTGCAAGGAGACAAGTCGTAGTTGAGGGACCAGAGAAATCCTTCCTGGAGGTGGCTAGCAGTAAAATTGCAAGGTCGGGGGAGGGGGGGGGGGGGGTTCATGAGCTGTACAGGGGGCACGAATTCGGCAGTAAATGCGTGAGAGTAATTTTTTAGGTTGAGCGTAAATGCTATTATGGAAGACTGAATTCAGTTCAAAGCTGCCAAAATTTTTCTTCTATATAGAGGCTTCAGGTTGCCGTGGCAATCTTGCACTTGGATGCTGCACAAGGAATTGACATGGGATATTAAAAAGGATTCCAATACTCGTCTGTTCAATGCGCTGCATTGGATTCCATCCATAAAAATATACTCAAGATTTTAATAGCTTATCCATGCCCAACTCCGGTCCTGTACAGTACATAGAATATTTTACAGTGCTCGGGAAGCAGTCACTGGGTCAGAGTTCCTCAATGAAGTGTATCATCAGCTTAGAAAAGGAGGGACTGGGACAGCCTTCATTGGAACATTTGTTTTTATGACTGCTGAGTACGAATAGGCCAGATTGTATCATTTTGGTCTGCATGTATTACTAGTATACTCAATGTTTTAGTCCATGTAATGTTCATGTGGAATATGCACCGACCTCTTACATGTGAGTTTGCCAAGATCGAATCTGCCACCCTGCAAGTTTTCTGAACCCACTAAGATTTACAGAATTATGGATTGAGTAGTGACTCCTGAATCCTGATGCGGGCACAAGGTGAACATGTACTGTATACGGTATTAAAATTCACCTGTGCGGGGATGCATTTCGCCTTAAGTTATTTTTGGGTTTGATAGCCTACACTGTTTTCTCATGGGAGTGATATTTACTGCAAATTTAGTTTTCAATAAATTTAAAAGATTTATTGCCTCATGATGCCTTTGCTATGTCAAAGAAGTGGCTTTTGAGAAGGAACATGGCTGCTTACGCAATGCGCAAGTTTAAAGAATGTTTACATTGTGATTCTCCAGGAAAGTGTAGGAACGTTGGTTCGAATCCGCAGTAATCAAGTTGTGATCCCGTACTTCTTCATTGAAGCTCGCATAGAATAAAAGCCTTGTTCCAACTCGTGCTTCTCTTCTGCGCGCTAAGGATAAGTCTGGGGGAGGATTTTCCACAAAGTTCGAGGTGTTGGTTATCGTGTGGGAGTTGGAAGACGGCGAAATCGAGACGTTCACTGCGGCACGTATTTTGTCAATTGTTTTTTCCAGGCAATGTGTTAGTGTGGACGGCGTGAATTCTTTGCGAAGCCATTCTGTAGCATGTCCCAGGTGTTCTAGACGCCAATCCGAATGGCTGTAGATGAATTTGATGGAGAAGAACTCCCCGACAAGTACGCCGCCCGCGGCTTTTATGCCAAATATGAGCCCAAAGAGATTCTTGGAAAGTACGAATTGCTGAAAAAGCGTATAGTTATATCTTTCTGATCAATACCGAACTCCTCAGAGGTGTAAGTTCTACTGTTAGAAGATGCATCGAGAAGGAAACCGGGCGGGAGTTCGCAGCAAAGATCATCGATCTTGCTGGCCAGGAACCCGGAGACAGCGACGCCCTCCGTGAATCCACCTTGCGTGAAATTTCTATTCTTCGTGAAGTTGCTGGGCACCCGTACATAAGTAAGGTTTGACTTAAACGTTTTCTTGACTCATTATTCACGAGACTTTTGCAGTTGAACTTCATGACGTGTATGAATCGGATACATTCATCTTCTTGGTGTTCGAGTTATGCAAGAATGGGGAGCTGTTTGACTACCTCACCAGTGTTGTGACCTTGTCGGAGAAGAAAACAAAGTAATTTCATTTTCCCGAATACGGTGTTGTGTAGTATTGAGTTTCCGTTGTAACCCAGGTACATCATGAAGCAACTGTTCGAGGCATTATCCTTCGTGCACCGCAAGAACATTGTTCATCGGGATGTGAAACCAGAAAACGTGCTCTTGGATGACAATTTTAATGTCAAGCTCACCGATTTTGGCTTCGCCAGGAAACTAAAAGACGATGAAAAGCTACATGGTAGTATTTTTAAAATTGAATGAAGTTCAGGTGAATTACAAAAGACGTAATGAATATTCGTCTTTCAGAGGTTTGTGGAACTCCTGGATATTTGGCTCCTGAACTGCTCAAGTCTGCTATGTTTGAGGATGAGGGAGGGTATGACAAGGCTGTTGATGTTTGGGCGTGTGGTGTCATCATGTATACCTTGTAAGTTCTGTTCTGAGTGACGGTTCTAGAATTATAAGAGCCGTATTCACCTTGCCGGATTTATGCAATTCCATTTGAATCATTCAGTTGTTTTATGAACATTTTCTGATACTTTTCCCAGAAATGTACCGTATATTCGTTAATTTCCAGGCTCGTTGGCTGTCCGCCATTTTGGCACAGAAAACAAATGGTGATGTTGAGGAACATCATGGAGGGAAGGTTTACTTTCTCTTCTCCTGAATGGGATGATGTGACAGATTCTCCGAAGGATCTCATTCAGAAAATCTTAATTACTGAGCCTGCAAAGAGGATTACAATTGATGAGGCTTTGGATCATGAATTCTTTCAGATCCTGGTAAGTGTCGGTGTAGAGCATGTTTATTTTGAGAAACAATTCTGTAAATTTTATCTCGCACACACTTTTTTCCATTTTATGAATTGCGTCCAAGTTTTGAATTCCGTTTCGTACGGAAGTAATCAAATCTCCCTGAATGTCGTAGAATTTAAAATTAACCAACGAATTTTCGCGCACATTTTTACTGCAGATATTCTTCGTAAGTCAGTTTTATTTAAATATCAGAACTCTTTTTGTTTCATGTCGCAACTTCCTTTAAACTACTGCACTGTGCATTTTTCTGATGTTCCTGGAACCTTTTTCTCCCATAAAACATTATTAGATAACCAAATTTTAAATGCCAGGTCCGTATTTCTGCGATATCTTGTGTGAAATACGATGTTCCATGTATATTAAGGCGAGATCCTCTTATCGAATCCGTCAATTTACTCGTTGTTCCTGCGAAATGTTCTGTTTCCCTCGATTCTGAAGATCCCTCTGAGATCACTATGCACTTGGGGGCTGATGATTATTTCATGTTCGGTGGAGAAATTGGTAGTCGTTGGAAAAGTTGTGTATCTCCGGTGAAAGGTGTGATTACTTGTATCCTTGCATGACCTCTGTTGCTCTGTTCAGCCCCAGGCGCCATGGCATGCTCCTTACTCTATGCATCCTAAGGACTTGATTTCCTTCAGTGTGAGTATCCTGTGTTTGGACCTCGATCTTTCCCTTTGTTTGGCCCTGGGTTTGTGTGGAAACGATTGGGTATATTTATAATTATATCGTTTCAACCAAACAGCAATACAAGGGCAAAACGTTCAATGCGAGGAAGATGTTCCAGTTTGGGATTCTGTGCGTGAGGTCAGTGGTCAGAATCAAGCGCTTGAGGTTCACTCCTGAACCTTTATCCTTGAATATTGCCCGCATGGACCCTTACAAGCTCAGAGCTTTGAGGAAGGTGATTATCTCATGAGGCTTAATGTCCGCACAGTATTGTATCTGAAATTTTGTAACATTATTTTTTTTCTAGGTAACTGATGCCATCGCCTTCAGAGTTTATGGGCATTGGGTAAAGCGAGGAGAAGCACAAAACAGAGCTGCATTGTTCGAGAATTCCCCCAAAATTGAGCTGAAGCAGATCTGGGTCTCCAGAATGAGTGGGGTGTGAATTGCATTTCTTGGTATTCAGTCTAGTCACGCGTGTCTCCAGTGTATGAAATATATCAAATCTGGTCCCTGTGATCAACTGCGAAGTCATTGTAAGCCTTTCAGGACCTCTTGTCCTCTCAAGCTGAGTGCAGTACAGTAGTTGCATGAGTTCAAGAACCGAAGGATTTAGAAGGGCTGGTGTGCTTTTAGACGAGGCACAAGCAAGGAATTATGCCTTCTCTAAACTTTGGTCTCAAAAATTAATTAATGGGAAATGAAAATATGATCTGCATTAAGATTGACTAACCGAAATTATTTTGTAGTGCAGATAGTTCGAAGTAGACTACTGCGCACCTTTGTAACCTTGAGTGCATGATCAACCAGATTGGTGTTGATCCGTACCGCAGTAAGAATAAATTATCAGGATGAAATGGTCAAGAAAATCTTGTGATGTTCACTGAGGGATGGAAATTGACCATAATTTGCGTGTCTGTTGGATTAATCTCGATGCAGTATAACGCAGTACATTACTTTACTGTACTGCCTTCCCTGAGTTCCACATAGATTTCAAACGAGGGTGCAGCGACACCTACTTTATGTGATCTTTGTGCGATTCTCCAAGCCTAAGGGGTTCGAGGTGCGATTTTAAATGCTCTTTCCTCAATTAATGTATTGGTCGCATGCATTAAAGCTAAATACTGTATACTGTACTAACCTGGTGCAATAGTTGAATTGCCCGCTTGGCTGCACGCTATGCTACCCTTCTCATCGCTCTCTGTACCAGCAGTCCCTTAAAGGAATGGCGCTGAAAAGTGAAAATAGGAAAAGAAATACTGGAAACATGGAATTACTTGAGATTTTCCTGGACTTGTCGCGTCAAGATTTTGCCAGACTTGCTGCTGCTGAAATTTTGCCCCGTGCATGTTCTTAATTGCTGTGCGCGTCGCCAGGGTGGGGGAAGAAGGATGTCCTGCACTCCTGCGTCCCTATATGACAAATTCAGAATTAGGGGGGGAATGCCCAGCTGACGGCAAGAGGAAAGGGCTACTTTTTTCAGTTTTATGGGGCTGTATCCCCATAAAATGCTGTATCCTGGAGAACAATTGCCTTATGCCGTCCCCGTCACAATCGTCCCCGCTGGTTGACCCTTTTCAACCGGTTGTCCCCACTGTTGGTGGGTCAGTTTCTTCCAATTCTACAAAATGAAATGAAAAATTGACACAATTACAATGTTTTCAAAATTTTAAATTATATCATTTCTTAATGCTGTTGAGAAAACCAAATGAATTGATACCAAAGAATATATGCCCCTTGTATACGAGTGCCTGCAAATGTTCTAAAACATTTTTATGGGCAGTCTTGCATACAACTGTGCCTTAGACTTGTTACTGCTCTCAAATGTATTCCTGGATCTAACCCAAATATGTGCAGAAATAGCATCAACAGCCCCAAGTACTAGTGCAAACAATATAAAAAATATATGTCATGCATCTGTGTGAGGGACTAACCATAAAGATGCCTTGGAAAAATTGAAAAATCTGATCTAAGGCACATTTATACAGTTAAATATATTTTCCACAGCACTTTTATGATCAGTATATTCTAGGAAAGAATTAAAACAGGGTGAATTGCATGGCTGATGGCTTACAATTTATTTGAGCCACTGCTGCAGCAAGCATACCTTTGTTGTCCAACTTATGTAGCATCCAATGTAGCATTGGTTGGTAATTTTGTCCAGTTTATTCAGATTCTTTAAACTTAAATGAACTGTAGAAGTTGACACAAAATTAATTTCTGTGCAGTGGCCACCTGTGCATTTACATACCAGCACTGGCCCTGATTTGGTGAATTATACTGAGATAGTGTAAGCTTGGCTATATACAGGCAGTGTCAAAGAATTGATCCTGTCTGCTCAGTAAAATTGTTTTGTCAAAACCTACACAGTACAATACTGTTATTGCTGAACACTCTTGTCATTCTAAACCCAATTTATGAACCCTTCTGAAACTATAATTCCTTGCTTGAAGTAATCAAATCCATAATTTAAATTAAACTTATGTCAAGCAGGCCTGAAAGGAGGCACTTGTCAAAGCAACAATTGAATACAACATTAAAATGCAATTATTGTCAAACCACATTTCACACAATGGGCCATGGCACCTGGGATCAAACCCATGGAACATCCCGTCATATTATTTCACACATGCATGGAAAAAAAATTTTTCTCACAAAAAGTTAGTACAGTTGACCCCCATTACACTGCCACCCTTGGTCCCTGCCAACATTTTCCCAGAAACAAATGATCCCAATGCTGAAGGTATGGGAAAACATCAATAAACTGCCATCTGCCAACAATTTTCTTGACACAAATAGGCTTTTACCATTGCCTTTTCCCTCTTTCAACAGAAAACATCAATAAACTGCCATCTGCCAACAATTTTCTTGACACAAATAGGCTTTTACCATTGCCTTTTCCCTCTTTAAACAGCCAAAGATTTCCTCTTCTGTGTAGCTATTTAATCCAATTTGCATGCTAATTTTGGGCAAGAATAATTTTAACATTTACTCTCTCAGTAGATTCCTGTAGAATTTATAATACTCCTAAAAATTAAGCCACTAAATTATAATTAAATGTGCAGAAACATTTGTGAATCTTCTGACAAATTCAAGGATTCATTTTAATATTTTTAGAATTCCTGCAGACCTTTACTAGACTAAAACCCTCCTGATGCTCAAAACTTCTCACCATGGAAATTCCAAAATATTGCAACCAAAATATTTTTGTGAAAAAGATTTAATCCCTCAAAGGAGAGAAAGCATGGAGTGTTTAAAGGGAGGATTATTGCTTGTCATTTTTATGTCTTGGGTTTTGGACTTTTGGGTTCCCTGGAATGTTGGGAGGAAATGTTTGCATATTCAGAACATTTCCTATACTGGGCTTTGAAAATAAAATACTTTTATTGATCAGCAGCATGCAAAATGCTCAGGCAAAAATTTCACATGCACACAATTTAATAATTTTTGAATCTTAAGTAAGGAATTTAAAGCCACCACAATTCTGTCTTTTTTTTAATTCTTTCATGTGTGTTCCAATTTTACCATGAAATACTGATGATCAAGATAGAAGGAAGATCTGTTGCAGATGAAAGTTTAAAAAAAAGTTTATCTTGATTTAATCTCCTTTTTGGTATGCCTCTCCCAACCACCACGCCTGATAAACCACCAAAATCCTGCTGCACAGACATTGGCGGTTTAACAAGGTTTGCATGTACATGCACTTGCTACACCGCTTCCAGCATAAGGGGTGTATTCCCGATTCTTGAAGTCACTCATGCACAACCGCAGGAGAGAGAGTGTTGGGTGCCGGGCGTGAGGGGATGGGGGGCACAGGGGAGAGGAGTTCTGACGGCGTGCGATCCAGCTCCGGTGTAGCAGGCAGGGCGTAATCCCCAGGTACAGCGTACTCCAGAGTACACCCTACCTAGGCAGGGTGTACTCCAGGAGTACACTGTGCCTGAAACAGAGGTCCAGGCACAGTGTACTCCATCAGGCAGGGTGTACTCCCCCCAGAATTCCCAGTTGCAGTGCTTCCAACAAGTGGGGGTGTTTTCAATCAGTGTAGGTGTTTTATCAGTTAAGGTTTTCCCCCCAGTCTTCTGTTTTCTTCTGTTACTGTATCTGTCTGTTCTTCTGTATTCTTCTGTTTTCCCCCCAGTCATGGTGTTTCATACCAGTGGGGGTGTTTCTAACTCTTGTTTTCAAGTTTAGCTGTTTTCAGTTGAGGTTTTTGCCACCAGGGAGGTTAGTGGTGGTGTTTCCCCACCATTGGGGGTGTTTCTCACCAGTGGGGGTGTTTAGTTGAGATAGGGTGTTTAGAAGTTTAGTTGAGATTTCTGCCACCAGGGAGGTTGTTTTCAAGTTTAGGTGTTTTCAGTTGCTGCCAGGGAGGCCAGTGGTGGGTGTTTCCCACCAGTGGGGGTGTTTCTCACCACCACTTTCAAGTAAATGCATGAGTAAATGAGAGTAACTTGGTTTTTATAAAACCATACTTATAAATAAAAGTATAAATAAGAAGACTAAAGTATCTTTTTACCTATCAGTTTAAAAATTACAGTTGGTGAGTTCAAGTATTCTGATAAATACAAGATTTCAAAAAAAACAAGTTTTTTTCAATAGCATTTTCAAGTAATTTTTTTTACAAACACCAACACACATGTATTGTATGTTGATTTTCAAAAACACTGACTGGAGTCAGACATCCACAAATGCACACTAACCTGTTTGGTCATGGATAAAGAAAAATATAAATAAGAAGACTAACATATCTTTTTACTTATAAGTTAAAAAATTAAGGTTTGTGAGGGTTACTGAAAAGTCCATTAAAAATTTCAAAAAAGGTCTTTCTTAAAAGTTGTAATTTATTTTTACAAACACCCACACACATGTATTGTATGTTGATTTTCAAAAACGCTGACTGGAGTCAGACTTTCACAAACGCACAATAATATTGACTTGGACAAATATTTTGGAGTACATGTTTCTTTTTATGTTTATTCCTTGGTTTTATAGAAAGATGAATAGTCATTAATTTCAAACACTCCCAAAGACTTTTCTGGTTTTTAGGTTATTTTTCAAGAATTTTTCAAGAGAATTTTAAAGTATTTTTTTCACAAATGCCCACACACATGTATTGTGTGTTGATTTGCAAAAACGCTGACTTTTCACAAACGCACACTAATAATGAATTGGAAAACTATTTTGGTGTACATGTTTCTTTTTATGTTTATTCCTTGGTTTTATAGAAAGATGAATAATCATTAATTTCAAACACTCCCAATGACTTTTCTGGTTTTTAGATTATTTTTCAAGATTTTTTCAAGAGAATTTTAAAGTATTTTTTTCACAAATGCCCACACACATGTATTGTGTGTTGATTTGCAAAAACGCTGACTGGAGTCAGACTTTCACAAACGCACACTAATATTGACTTGGAAAAATATTTTGGTGTACATGTTTCTTCTAATGTTTATTCCCTGGTTTTATAGAAAGATGAATAGTCCATTTTTTAATTTCAAACACTCTCAATGACTTTTCAGG